CAGCGCGGGACATAGCCTTTCAAGCACAATCGCTAAACGCCTATACATATGCATCGTTCATATACTGCATGTCTGCCACGCTCTCAAAGCAGCCGGTAATGTGATGCCAACTGCCCTGCCCTGCACCCAAAGGGACTGGTGCGGGCATCCACCCATCGTCTGACCCTCCCAACTGCCGCACCGCGTGCTGTATATGTCAGAATATTATGTTTCTCTAGTCTGCAGTGGGGTACTCTATAGTGAGTACAACCCTTTTAGGGTTTGCTATATATATTCCAATGTTTGCTAGTGAACCCCCCTCTCTCTTCTTTCATTTCCTCATTTCTTCACATGCTATCAGAGCATCTACGGTCCTGGCTTGTGGGCCCACCCAACTGCTTCCGCTGCTACTCTGTGTACTACACGCCCCGTGGCGTGCCCCTCGCGCGACCCTTAGTGGCCCCGTCGCCACCCCTCTCGGCCCCGTCGCCGCCCTTCTCGGCCCCTCGCGGCCCCTTCGCGGCCCCGTCGCCGCCCCTATCGGCCCCATCGCCGCCGCCAGCGGCCCCGTCGCCGACCCTAGCGGCCCCGTCGCCGACCCTAGCGGCCTCGTCGCCGCCTCTATCGGCCCCGTCGCCGCCGCCAGCGGCCCCGTCATTGACCCTAGCGACCCCGTCGCCGCCCCTATCGGCCCCGTCGCCGCCTCCAAGCGGCCCCGTCGCCGCCACTTGCGGCCCCGTCGCCGCCCCTTTCGGCCCTTCCTCGACCCTGCCCCGGCTTTGTCCCGGCTATGCTCCATCGCCAGTCGCGGCGCACCGGGGGCACGTGCGCCGCCCCCCCCTGCGGCCCCCTCAGGTCGCCTCGACAGGCGACGGGAGGGGCAACCTGGGGGAGGGGGGCGAGCGCCGCCCCTTCTGCCGCCTGTTTTGGCGCCCTGGGAGGCCGTGCGTCGCCCCCCCCCCCCCCGTAACCACCCTACCCGCCGTCCCGCCCTGCCCTGTGTTAGGGTCTGGGGGTGGCGAGTAGGGGGTGGCGGGTGTGCGGTCTCCCCTGCTCCTCCTCCTCCTCTGTCTCCCACTGCTGCAGCTGCCGCTGAGGGGGGTGGGTGTGTGGGAGTCGACGGAGTGGTGCTAGGGGGTGGGGTGTGAGTGAACCTAGGGTGCAGCTGGGGGTGTGTGAAATGGGGGTGGGATAGTTTGGGGAGGTTGAAGGGGGTCGCCGCCGTGAAGCCCGCAGCTCCAGTCGCCCATGAGACCGTTGCGACAGTCGCCCGTGAGCCCGTTGCGCCAGTCGCCCGTGAGCCCGTTGCTCCAGTCGCCCGTGAGTCCGTTGCTCCTGCCGCTCAGAGTTAGCCGCAGAGCGAGTTACTCCAATAGCCCGTGTGCCAGTTGCTCCAGTTGCCAGTGTGCCAGTTGCTCCAGTTGCCCGTGTGCCAGTTGCTCCAGTTGCGCCGTGTGCCAGCAGCTTCAGCTGCCGCCCACTACCTCCTCTCCTCTCATAGTCCCTCCTCCTCCACACTTGCCCTCTGCGATAGCCTCTAGCTTTGCTTACATTTGTGAACTTTAAACTGTTGTTTCTTGTACTTGTGCTCAGAATGTGTGGTGACATTGTGATCCACCCTTAGCTTGTTCTGCTTTGCTTGTTGTGCTGATTACACCCCACTTTGTCTATGGGGGTGTGTCAGAATATTATGTTTCTCTAGTCTGCAGTGGGGTACTCTATAGTGAGTACAACCCTTTTAGGGTTTGCTATATGTATCCCAATGTTTGCTAGTGAACCCCCCTCTCTCTTCTTTCATTTCCTCATTTCTTCACAGTATAATACTCTGAGCCTGCGCTCGCTGCAGTGCCACGGAAAGTCGTGTAGTGAGTCCAGTCTCGAAAATCCAGGCTGACCCGTCATCCCCCCCCCCCCAAGTCTTTACGCCGCTGTGCAATCCGCCGCGCACAAAGCCCTAGAAATTGCCTCATTGGCTCGCTGAGCAACCCAAACGTCTCCACTACACAAGCATAAAAATGTGGCGGTGGTTGTAATCCCTCTAGATGCGGTGCCCAATCCCGCAACTTGTCCTGCACTCGTCTGGCTGCTGTAACACCTATCTGCACTGGGGCCACTCGTCTAAGCCCGGTATTCCCCTGTTGCTGTGGATCTGCAATGGAGACGTCTACCAACACCATCAAAGTTTTTTCTATATCGCGGCAAGTCAGGTCCGGAATGCGGGCTGGTGCCCCTATGCGGCCTGTGCGTCCAGCCTGCCTTTGCTGCTGTACTGGCTGCTTCTGTACCTGGTCCCTCTGTGCCTCCTCCCTTGTCGTCTCTGCCTCTCTATGCTCTCCCCCACCCACCTGCCTCCTCCCATCCCCTCTCCCCAACCCCAAACCCCCCAGCACCCTCGCCCTATCCCCCCCCTCCATACCCTCCCCTCCTAACCCCTGCGCTCCCGCCGTCGTGTCCCCCGCCACCTCCTCTCTCCCTCTCTCCCCGAACCAGCCCGCACCCAAGGGCTGGGTCGCCCCCTGGACCCGGAGCCCGACCTGCCATTGCTGGCCATCCCGTTGTTGCCCCTGCTGTCCCCTCTCCTCTACCCCACTCGCCGGCCTCTCCTACCCCTGCTGAACCTCCTGTTGCTGGCTGTGCTGTCCTCTCTCCTCTCCCCCACCAACCTGCTCCTCCTGCCATTGCTGGCCATGCTGTTGCTGTAACTGCCGCTGCTGCTGCTGCTGCTGCTGCTGCTGCTGTAGCTGCTACTGTTGCTGCTGTTGTAGCTGCTGCTGCTGCCACTGCTGTCCTCTCTCCTCTCCCCTAGTAGCCTGGCCCCACTGACCCTCCTGCTGTCGCCCCTGTTGACCTTCCTGCTGCTGCCCCTGCTGACCCTCTTGCTGCTGCTCTTGCTGTCCTCTCTCCTCTCCCATACTGGCCTGCCCCTCTTGCCCCTGCTGGCCCTCCTGCTGTCGTCGCTGCTGTTGCTGTCTCCTCTCCTCCTCCCAGCCAGCCTGCCCCTGCTGACCCACACGCCGCTGCCCATGCTGACCCTCCTACTGCCGAACCTGTTGACCCTGCTGACCTTCCTGTTGCTGTCGCTGTTGCCCTCTCTCCTCTCCCCTACAAACCTGCTGCCGCTGCCCTTGCTGGCCCTGCTGTTGCTGCTGCTGCTACTGCTGCTGCTGCTGCCGCTGCTGCTGCTGCTGCCACTGCTGCCGCTGTGGCGGCTGCTGCTGATGCTGGTGCTGCTGCTGCTGCCGTTGTTGTCCCCCCTCCTCTCCCCCACTAGCCAGCCCATCCTGCCCCTCTCGGCCCTCCTGCCCACCAGCCCCTCGACCGAGCCCACCTTGCTGCTGCTGCTGTCCCCATGGTGCCCCTGACTGTCCCGGTACCCCGTCCCCCGTGGTGAGGTACCGTCATGTCGTCGATCGCCTGCCCACAAGAACACCGACCTGCGAGGGCTAGTTGGGGGATAAGGAGGCCGAGACGGAAAGCTGAGGCCACCTGCCACTGCGCCTCTGGGATGCGCAGCGAGTTTGCGTACGGCACCGCCGTCAACCACGCGCCTGCACCTGCGCCCTGAAGGGATGTCAAACGGGCAAGGTGCAAGGGGTTAGTGTGACGGGCCCGGACTGACTCCAAGGCCCGCGCCTCCAAGACGTGGCTCACTCCTGTGAAAAGAGAATCAGGGGCAGCAGAGACACAAGAGTGCCAGGGGGGGAAGAGAGAGAGGAAATCACGTGGGAGGCCCTCCAGCGCCGTCCGCAGTGATCGATTGATCTGGTCAACATCATCCGATGCGAAGCTCTGTCGGAAGCTCGCGCCGCACACTGGGAGGGAGCAAAGGATCGGCGCGCACTGTACCCAAGAGCACGCATAACTCACCGGGGCGATACGCTCCATGTGTCGGATGCCAAAACCCCCTAGACGTATGGGGAGGTAGATCTGGTCCAGGGCAGCCTCACGAACGTCCTCTCTGCAAGTCCAAGTCCCAGGCACCAGAAGCTGCTGAAAGGTCTCCCCCAACCGCTCATCCCACCGTGCAAAACTGGCACGTACAGCCGGTGTCGGAGGGACCGTCCTCGCCAGATACTGCGGTCGTGCGCTGACGCATGCCGAAAGTAGACGGGTCGCTGTCTGGGGCTGGCGCAGTCTCGGAAGCCACGGCAACACGCGCCCCATCCTCTCCAGACGCTCAGGTAGGCTCCTCTCCACAAAAGCGTCAGAGCCCACCGGCACTCCCGTGACGGTGAGTCCTCTGCGAGCAACCTCAATCCCCAGACTCGTGAAGGCCTCCACCTCCCTGGAAGTCACAAAATCCCCAACTCGCGCAAGTGCCTCACTATCTCTGCGAAGTGGTGTAGCACCAATTTCACGAGTGGTGAGGGGAGACCTGCCGGCGAGGAATTTTCTTCCCTGGTTCTTGCTGGGCCTTCGCCGAGCCTAAGAGCCGTGTGTGCAACCAAATATCTTCTTCCACAAGTGTCGAAGGTCCATTCGCCATCACGCCCAAGCCAGAAACAGGTGGCATTTGGTTGGTTCCTCAATCGTGGGAGTGAAACTCGCATTCTCAGAGCCGTTCGTACTTCATTCGTTTTGTGCGGTTACTCTTGTTGTGTCACGGTGCAAAACGGTGAAGCTTAATAACCGTTGTGCACCGTCTGGAATCGTCTTGCGCCACGACGAATGAACTGACTGAAAACGAACGTGCTGGACCAGCCGTCACACATTCCTTACCACCAACAGCGTTAGCATTTTGGCTCCATTTTTCCGAATTATTCTGTAATTCCGTCTCAGACATCCTCGTTGCCTTCAAGCCATGGCACCACTCACCTTAGAGCTGTCGGAGGGGCATGGCGCTGTGCTGTTGGTGGCAGCGGCAACAGCAATCGTTCATATTTTTTTCGCCGAAGTCGTGATGTTCGCGAGAAAGAAGTAAACATGCTGAACATAAATTCTGTATCAACTGTTAAAGCAAATGTGCTGCAGCTTGTTAACAACGTTAATTATGCGCGTGAATTTTCTTCGTATGGTTGCAGGTACAACGTCCAATTCCCGCTTCTGTACGCGCCTGAGTCTCACAAGAACAACAAGGAGTTCAACTGCGTGCAGGTATGACAATCATGTGCATGCGCTCGAAAACATGGTTTGTTGAACATATTTCCGCGCCTGTTGAGAAACAGACGCCATTCTGGAGAAGGAGGATTTGCTGGTCTTTATTTCTTATGTTTTTTTCCACATCTTGCATCGCAGAGGGCGCATCAGAACTTTCTCGAGAATATTTCGTTTTTCTTTGTGTCCCTCCTCACCAGCGGCCTTGCGGTAAGCTTTCCTCGCCTGCTAGTGGCTCTGCTCCCACCACACCACATGCTGGCTGCTCTTCCTGGTTTTCCTGCTTCACGCATTGTGTCGTCACTACCTGCCTGTCTCATTTAACGCCGCCTCCCTTCGCAGTACCCCTGGACATCCACAGTTCTTGGGGTTATCTTCCTGCTTGGCCGCATTGTCTATTTCCTTGGTTACTCCACTGGGAGCCCAGCGGCACGAAATTATGGAGCGTAAGAATCCCCATACGCCCAAACCACTTCCACCCCGCGTTCCCCCTCACTCTCTTCCCTCGCTCGCTTCCCCCTCTTTCCTGCCTCTCCCTTTTCCCCCACCGTCCTCACATCCCTTTTTTCCATATCGCCCTCATTTTATTGCTCCAAATCAGCAAGTTTCACATCCCACCTGCCTTCCAACTTTCAAGCAATGTGCCTGCTCTACTTGCAGATTTTGGACGATTGGACTTCTTGGCCTCATGATTGGCACCATTATGTTTGGTCTTCGGGTCCTCGGTGTCATCTCAGCATGAGTACATGCTGTGCATACCCCCGTCTATTTATAACGAGAACCCTAATGTTGCCGGAGTAAATTGTAGTGAGTGTTCTTGTTCTATAATCTGCATATACTGTAGCTGATCGATCAACTACCGTATTCTCCCGGATAAAACACCCTAGGGTATTATGAAAACCACTGGGGAAAAATGGGGGGGGTCTCCTCAAAGGAAAATCCTGCATAATACCCAGGTCTTATTATATGGTATATTTCTTATCAAGCAGGAAAGATGTGAAACAAAATCAGGGGGTCTGACTTCACTTCAAGATTGTTGATCAGTGCCGCAAAACTGAGTATACGAGGATAACGTGACTGCCCACTGGAATCTGCCACGTGGCAAATTCCAGTGGGAAATTCTGGCACTTGATAGGGTGAAAACAAAGCCAATTGCGTAGCAAGGGTTCATGCAACCGTTGAGGCCGAAATCGCGCACGGTGGTGCGTTGTATTGGAATAACCGAAAGGTTATATAAAGCATTCCCGAAGCTGTTCCACTGTACCAGTACCGCAATAGCTCATATAGAGCATGCGGAATGTCGAGGGTCACCCGAAGTTCAACAGTCTGAGGAAGTCAACGGTCGTGACCCTTTGACAATCCACTAATCGCGCGACAGTTAATTCACTGCAACATGGTAACTGTCGAGGATAGCAATAGTCACGGTTACTGTAGCTATGCAATACAGTTAATAAGGGAATGTACCCCTCAGAGTACATGGCTAGCTAAATTTCTACTTAATCTCTTGTACTCCTATCTTTCAATCATCTTGTTCACCTTCAATTATTATTCAACAAAGTCACTACAGAGACTTTATTGTCTCCTCTCAGACTTAACAAATTCTATCCTATCCACTGAATCCTTGGTTATATCAGCATGGTATGAGAGCTAGAGTGGATTATACGATCTGTCAAATCCTCGTTCTTCTCAAAACAACCCCTTTATAAAGTTATTCATTACACCTCAAAGTCTGCAATACTATGGCTCCTGAAGGAAAAGCTACTGCAGACTCACCGGGCCCACCACCAGCAACGACTAACGCGCCATCAGCGGTGACCTCCGTCAGCGCCGCTGTCGTTGAGGAGCTAGTCGCACGTATCAACGCCCTTGAGAGCCATCAAGCAATGAGCGTTGACGGCTCAAGCTGTGCACGTGGCGTTGCTGGAATTCCTCTCCCTGGAGAAGACCACCGCGTCAACTCCGAGAGATCCTTCACCCTTGACAATCGTCAAGGGTCAACTTCTGCACAAGACAACCCACAACGCTCACAGTCAGACATTGCTTCAATGCAAACCAAATTTGTACTGACTTCAAAATTGAAGACCTCAACTCCTTTCGACGGAAAGGATTTCTACACGTGGAGTTTCGAATTCGAGCTTTTCGCGACAACCGCTCAAATCTGGATGTACTACGACGGAAGCCTAACTTTTCCCTCGGAAGGTACCATCCGGGAGAAGCATCAATACTACCACGAATCCCTCCTCGCGTACACCGCTCTCCGTCGCAATCTCTCACCTGAAGAGCAGCTCCGCATTCGCCCTTACAAGACGGAGTGGGCTCCCGCGCAAGCCTCCTGGGAACACCTGCGCAACTCATACATGGCAACAGATCCAGTTACAATGAGCCGTCTACTCAGCCAACTGACTTCAGTTAAAATGAAGCAAGGGGAGAAAGCGGGACCGTATGTCAACCGGTGCCGCAATCTGCGTGACCAAGTCAAGAAATGCGGTGGGACTGTCCCCGACGACATGTTCATCTCGATGGTCATCTCTGGCCTCGGCCCCGACTGGCGACAATGCCAGTCACTCCTTCGCGCCCGAGCAACCATATCAGAGTTAGCTCTGTGCGCCACGCTTCTTTCGGAGCAGAAGGAAATCGACCTGTACAACGAGAAGAATGTTAAACGGGAGAAATTAGTCTTCTACACAGGAGCATCACAAGGGGAACAATGCGGAAAGAAGGGAGCCTTCTGCAAATACTGCAAGAAGTCTGGCCACTCTATCGACCAGTGCTACAAGCGTCAGGCCGCTGACGAGCGGCGCAACGCCTCCAGCCAACAACCATCGACGCAGACAAAGCCCTCCGCCACTATGACGCCTCCTTCCGTCGCCAGCACTTCCCAATCCCCTGCACTCATCACGGCGAAGGACAGAGGAAAAGGAACAATCATAAGCCGCATGGCTCGACGCAACAGAGGGTCCCGTTACTGGGATCGAACAACATTCACTTGCGACAATCCCATCAACCCCGTTGCGCCCAGTCCAGACAATGACCCAACAGCTTTTACCTGGTCCTCTCGCCCCTCAGACATTCCTCCTGACTTCGAGCTCCCTCCCCCAACTCCGGAATCGCCGCCGAGCATTTCCGCAAAACAGATATTTCGCCCTCTCACCGTACACCGGCGACCTTGATCGCATCGTCACACCCAAGATTGCCAACCTCGCCCGCCAGCGCTACGAGGATCTGGACACATGGTACCTCGACAGTTGCTGCGGACAACATATGGTGGGATCGCCAAGGTTCATCAGCAACTCCCGACGCATGCGACGACCCTGCGAAATCACCGCCGCCAACAACGGAAAAATGAAGGCATATGAGATTGGCAAAATCTACCTCGAGGCCGATGACACGAAGTTCACCATCCACATCGGGGACGTTCTCCTCGCCCCTGATCTACAATACAACTTACTCTCATCAGCTCAACTCCTGCGGTGCGGAATCGATATTCGCAGTAATCGGAAGGAAAAGACCTTCGAGCTCTTCCACAACGAAACTTACATCGGAAAGGCGATCGATGATGATGGAGTCTTCGTGCTGCAATTTTCGGCTCAGGGCACCACCAGCGACTCCCACTGCACACTGCTACTGAAAACAACTCCCACGGAGCTGCCAACATGGTCACATCTCGACGAGATGGACCTCGAACAACCAGCCTCCGACGGCCTTCTACGCTTGCGCACTGTCCCGACTGCCTCGACCTCCAACCCTGCAGAAACCGGACCTGCCGCAATGGAAGAAGACAGCGGCACGTCAGGACCTGCAACTCAACCAACCGAGGAAAACAAGACAGCGGAGACACACTGGCCGGGCTGGAACACTTCCGAGCCCGCGCTCGGACCCTGGGGAGAAGTACTAACTCCACAAGAAGCAGCCGCAAGTTGGAGGGGCGTAGTCCCAGCAGAGGAAGTTAACGCAACAGCAGGAGGAGCAGTTGGAGAAGCAGAGACCGCTGAAGACACATGGGGCGCTAGAAGAGGATGGGACACCACGGCCGAAGCAGAACAAAGGCACGCGGAGGCAGCTGGTTCTCCTCCTGCGGAAGTTGCCGTCGTCGACCCATACTGGGCAACTCGCGGCACCTGCTGGGGAGGTCCACCTCTCCCAGATCAATACGCCCTTGACACACCCGAGCAAATGGAAAAAGGGTCAGAAGAAGAAGAAGAAGCCTACGAATTCATGGGAGAACCAACAGAGTTACCCAAACCTACCGAGGAGCCGGAGCCACCAGTACAAGGACCACAAGAAATTGAGGTCATCGGCGCTGAATACAGTTACTTCAGAATCCCCGTGAAGGGACTCCCAGTTCGGGAATGGCCCAACCAATGCCTGCTCGTTACCGGAGACCAAGTCGAAGCCGGCGACACCGACGACATCATCGGTATTCCCCGCGTGCTTCTGGAGCGAAAAGCAATTCGCGCGCTCGCCGCCAACATCGACTCCGCCACTGACGCTGGACCTGAAGGGGAGGCAAACTGCGAAGCAGCGCGACAAAAATATCATCAAAAGACAGTCGGTTACCGTGCGGACCCAGAAACATGGCACCAACGGCTCGGCCATCCCTCCCACGCCACGCTAAAAAACTCGCTCAAAGCCGTAGTCTTCGACAGCGACGCGCTTCTCCTCCCTCGAAACGGTTCGCTTACCGCGGACTCACCTAACCCGCCATGCACCGTCTGCCCAACCGCGTCGCTCAATCACCAGCCGTTCCCCGACTTGCCCCCAGGGTATGAACGCTACAAGCCGCTGGACAAAGTTTACAGCGACTTTATGGTGCTCAGCCAGGAGGGGCTCGACGGGGAGCAGTACACACTTACCTTCATCGACGCATCTACTCGCTACGTCTGGGCCGTCAACACCGACAGCAGGTCTCTGGCCTTCGAGTGCTTCATTGCGTGGATGAAGCGGGCTGAGCGACAGTCTGGTCTCAGACTCAAAACCTGGCAGACGGACGGAGCCCTGGAGTTCTTCTCAGACGAGTTCAAGGAGCTCCCCAAACAGAAGGGGATTGAACACCTGGTGTCCCTGCCCTATGTCAAACATTATATATATTGTTGTAGTTGTTTAGGCTACAGTGGGTTAGCCTATAGGGGGTACACACTTCTAGGTTTCCATATTTGTACTCATTTCATTCTTAGTCATTTCATTCCTTGTTCAACATGGTATAGAGCAGGTCCTTCCTAGGACCGTTTTTCCTAAGGGCCCACCACTACCAACCTGCCTATCTGCCTACCTGCCCTAGGGCGCCTCGACGTTCACGCCTCTAGAGGCCCTGTAGGCCCCGCGCTGTTGCACCTAGAGGCCCCGAATCGGCCCCGCGCCTAACCCTAACGGCCCGCGTCGGCCCCGAGCTCGTCCCCTAGAGGCCCGCGTCGGCCCCGCGCCTACCCTAGAGGCCCGCGTCGGCCCC